AAAAAAAAAAAAAAAACGAAAAAGACCAGGCTTACTGGTCTGACAGAGACTGGAGAAATCCCAAGAGTATGGCCCCCAGACACCCTTTTAGCTCAGTAACAAAGTCACTCCTGAGGTTCACCCTTCAGCCAAAGATTAGATAGGCCTATAAAACAAAATGAGACTAAACAGACACACCAGCCCAGGGGCAAGGACAAGAAGGCAGGAGGGGACAGGAAAGCTGGTAATGGGGAACCTAATGTCGAGAAGGGGAGAGTGTTGACAGGTTGTGGGGGTGGCAACCAATGTCACAAAACAATATGTACATTGTCTAATGAGAAGCTAGTTTGCTCTGTAAACCTTCAACTAAAGTACAATAAAAAAAAAAAATCTATTTTTCAAAGTTAATTTTATTCATAATAAACATTTTTAAGAGTTCACTAAGTAAACCAAAGGATTATTCATCTTCAAAACATGAAACAAATACCCACCGTTCAGAGAATAACCATGCTCTTAAACATAAGTGCTTATGGTTCTGTTCCTTAATGCATTGCCAGAATGCACTACATCTATATAATATTAATTACCTGTGCTTACACCACAAATGTAATCAAAGAGCTGATGAACTGGCTTCTGAGTAAGTTCAACTAATTTTCGCAATGTCTGAATAGTAATCACACCTCTGTAGAAAAGATTAAAGGCAAAATTAGAATTTCTGTTTCATGGATATTTAAGTTATTGAATAATACAATTCTACAAATTCCTTTGTAGTTTAAATGCTAAGATGAAAACTAATAATATATACTCACAGCAGTAAACACTTGTCTGTCCAGATTATCTCTGAAAATTCAGTATCTAAATAACATTATAAAACCTGTGCTATGACAGCATGTTTTTGAATTTTGACTAGTATCTCCTTAAGAACACATGCCAATGTAAATTTTTTTTTTTTTCTTAAACACCCCTAGTCTTGAAAACACTTATAACCTTAGCTCACCACTTTCAGGATGCCATTTTCGGTTTCTTCTCTTACCAGTGTAGCTCGTCACCTACAGTTTTATGCATTTATGTGTTACCTAGTTCCCCTAGTCATACTTTTAAGCTCCCTTTTGTTTATTTACTTTTTAACACTCTCAGCAAACCTTAGGATAATGCTCTGCATCAAGAGTATACTAACTAGAGTTCCGGCAAAACGGCGCTCTAGGCAGAAGCACCATGCCGTCCCTCCACAGCAAAGATCCGAAAAACTAAGCTGAACAGAGACTACAACAATCCTGAAACCCTAAAACATCAAAGGAAGAGATAAAGAACTCAGCCAAACACCAAATGGAGTAGAAAACTGACAGAGAATGGAGAGTGAGGAGAGATTCATGCAGAGGTCCCCTACCAGCTAACGCAGTGTGGATCCGCCATCTTGGACTCCTAACGGAGACCAGCAAACAGGGGGTACAAGAAAGCAGCTTCATGGAGTGTCCAGTGGGAGACAAAACAACCGGTAATTTGCGATATACGCTTTCCCACCCCCCAACCTTCTTCACCCCGACTCGGCCTCCTCTGCTTCCCGCGGCCGCAATCTCTTGACCGGGAAACACCAGCTGCTTGGATTCCACACACCTGAACGGGCGGCTCTCTAAGCGCCATTTGTTAGCTGCTGGTGTTCATTTTTTCAACTTCTTTTGATTTCTACCTTGCCTCTTGTCACCTCCCCCTCCTTTCGCTTGAGTGCCTCGCTTCGTGAGCCACCTTTGCTTCTTCCTGTGGGGCTGCAGAGCTCTGGTAATTTGTGATATATGCTTTCCCACTCTCTACCCTTCTTCACCCACACTCGGCCCCCTCTGCTTCCC